TGTTCGTTCGGACCTTTACCCTATGTCCCAGGAAATATGGTCTCAGCTTTCTTACAGTGACCACCACCGCCAAGGCCCCTTTTTCAATCTCTGAGTACCTCCTTTCCGCCCCTTGCATCACCTTACTCACATAATAGATCGGAAATTGGGCTGTCCCTTCCTCCCGCAACAACACAGAGCTCACCGCTGTTTCACCAATGGATACATATAATATCAAGTCCTCCCCTTGTGCCGGTTTTGCCAATAGCGGTAAGTCGACCAACACCCTCTTCAACTCCTCGAATGCCTTCTGGGCTTCTTCCGTCCACTGGAATCTCGAGCTTTTCCTAAGTGTCTTAAATAAGGGCCCGCTCTTCTCAGCTACCTTGGAAATAAAGCGACTCAGGCCTGCTATTCGACCAGTTAAGATCTGAACCTCCTTTACCTTCGTGGGGGGCTGCATCTCGACCACCGCTCTCACCTTCTCCGGGTTGACCTCGATCCCTCTCTTTGTGACCATATAGCCCAAAAACTTCCCCGATTTGACCCCGAATGAGCATTTAGCAGGATTTAGCTTCATCCCATACCTTCGGAGGGTCATGAATGTCTCTTTCAAGTCGTTCACATGATCGATCTCCTCTTTGCTCTTTACCAGCATGTCATCTACATATACCTCCATGTTCCTTCCCAGCTGGTCCTTAAAAATTTTATCCACCAACCTCTGGTATGTTGCCCCCGCATTCTTTAGACCAAATGGCATCACCACATAGCAGTACGTCCCCCGGCTTGTTACAAAGCTGACCCTTTTCCAATCTTCTCGAGCCAGCGGGATTTGATGATAACCCTGGGACGCGTCCATTAAACTGAGTAGCTCACACCCGGCTGTGGAGTCGACCAGCTGGTCGATCCTGGGAAGCGGATACAAATCCTTCGGGCATGCCTTGTTCAAATCTCGAAAATCTATGCACATCCGCCATTTCCCCTCTGATTTTGAGACCATAACCGTATTTGATAGCCACTCTGGAAACTGGATCTCCTTTATGTGACCTGCCATCAAGAGCTTTTCTATCTCCGCTTCGATTACTCCATCCATCTCTGCTCCGTGGTGCCTCCTCTTTTGCTTCACCGGCCTTACAGTAAGGTCGATGTTCAGGCGGTGTTCGATGATTTCGGCCTTAATGCCCGTCAACTCCTCTGACGAGTATGCAAACACATCTGCAAAATCTCTTATTACCTTAATGAGCCTCGATCTTACCGGCTCCTCCAACTCCTTCCCGATCCGGAACTTTCTCTCTTCGCATCCCTCGACCATCTGTATTTCCTCGACTTCGCCCCCCGGCTGCATTTCTGCATTCTCTCTCCCCCTCTCCGGCTTGGGCTTTTCCTCCTTCGTCCTCGACCCTCCTGGTCGATCGACTGTCCCTTCCTTAGAACCCCCTTGTTTCCTTGCCAGCTGTTTGTTGTTACTCACGGTAGTTTGGTAGCAGCTTCTCGAGGTAAGCTGATCCCCAGCGATCTCTCCCACGTTTTCGCCCACCGGATATTTGATCCTCATATGGTACGTGGACACGACCGCCTAGAATGCGTTCAAGCTCATCCGCCCCATGATGATGTTATAGGACGACTTAGCGCCTACGACCACGAACCTTACCATGCGCACCTTTCTCAATTCCCCTGATCCCAATGCTACGGGCAAGTTGACCTCCCCCATCGGCATAACCTCTCCTCCATTAAAGCCATAAAGCGCCGTGGTCACCGGTTTCAGCTCCATATTCAGCTCCCTGTTGATCTGCACAAAACAGTCGTAGAACATCACATCTACCGAACTCCCGGTATCAATGAATACCCTCTTCACATCAAAGCCTGCGACCTCCGCGGTTATCACCAGGGCATCATTGTGCGGCATGACCACTCCCTCGGCATCCTCCGTCTTAAAACTTATCACCGGCATGCGGGCCGTGATACTCACCTCTTCCCTCTTTCTCTTCATTGCTCGGACGTGGCCTCTCCTCGCATTGTTCGAGTCCCCGTCCGTCGGTCCTCCCGAAATCATATATATTGTGCCTCTCTTTACTTGGCCTCCATCTCCTTCTCTTCCCCGCTCCCTGCTTCCTTGCCTCCTCTTCCCTTCATCTCTTCTTCGACCATCTCGACCACCTCGTGCATCCTCATCATCATCTTCCTCGCTCCTCTCTACCGAGTCCTCCCGACATCTCCTCTTCTCCTTCCTCCTCCCCTTATCCTGATAGACAAACTCCTTGAGATGCCCTGCTCGAATAAGGCGCTCAATCTCGTCTTTGAGATGTCGACAATCCTCAGTAGTATGGCCATAGTCTTTGTGGAAGCGGCAATATCTCCTCGACTTCGGTTGAGTGGGCCCCTCGAACCTCGACCTTGGCCATGTCACATCTCTCCCATCTATCCCTTTCTCCATGGCCACCAAAACCTCAGCTACCTTCGCATTCAACGGGGTATAATCATGAAATCTCTTCCCCCCAGAAATAGGCCGGTTCTTCCACCTGTCTTCCCGCCCTCGATCTTGCTTAGCTCGCCCCTCTCTCCTGGGTGAGGCTTTCCTTTTAGGCGAAACCGCCTTCTCCTTCCTCGACTCCCCTCGACCTAGCTCCTCTAGTTTAGCAAACTCCGCCTCGGTCTCCTCGAGATTGATATACTTTCTGCACCTCCTTAATACCTCATCATACGTCTGGGCAGGGGTCTTAGCCAAAGAAGTTCGACAAGGCCCCGCCCGCAAACTCCTTATCAGTCCTCCCGCCTTGACCTCGTCGACCGCCGACGGAATCTCCAAACAGGCCTGATTATATCGAGCAACATACTTGCGCAGTGACTCCTTCTCGCCCTGTCTCATCGCCATTAATGTCAAATACGTTTTCTCTTGAGCCACCGCGCTCGAATACTGATTTGTCAACTTCTCCGCAAAGTCCCCAAAGTCCACTATCGAGCCTAGGGGGAGCTGTTGGAACC